ATTCGAACCCGCCACCTTAGGTGTATGTGGCTGGCGCCTTGGCCGCTTGAGTCACAGGCGCCGAGCCTATATGTGTCTTTTTTAAAGAAAAATATTATCTCTTGGCTGGGAATGATGACTCACACCTGTAATACTATAATCCTAGCCCTCTGGGAGATGTGTGGATTGCTTGAGCTCAGGAGTTCAAGACCAACCTGAGACATGGAAGGTTTAGACACTTGCCAAAAGTCACACAGCAATACATGCTGTCTACCTCCAAATCTGATGTGCACTTAATAACAGTGCTCTAAGAAGAATCTTTTTGGAGTGCTGTTGTGAGGAGATCATTTCCACACTCAACTAAACTCTTCTCTGGCTCCTGCGTCTAAAGACTGGTTCAGGACATTCACTTTTAGTATTGAGTGCTTGTTTGCCAAGTACTAAACGGTTTGCTGAGGGCTTACAGATAAATAAGGGGATTCCTGTCGTTAAGGAGATCAGTGTTTATAAACAAGACAGATTGAAAACAAAATTGTAAATGTTATGTGCCAATTGTAAATGAAAATATGGCTCCTACAAGGGTCATGGTTAATTCTGGGTGGAAGAAGGAAAGTTGGGGGCAGTGCCTGTGGCTCAGTGGGTAGGGTGCCGGCCCCATATACATACCTAGGGTGGCGGGTTCCTGGCCCCAGCCAAACTGCAACAACAACAACAAAAAGGAAAGTTGGGGGGAGGCTTCACCAGTTGATGCTAAGTTATGAAGGAGGGCTAAGGATAGTTCAGAGAGTGGACAAGGGTTGTGAGCTCTGAATAGATTTTGATTGGAGGTTGCAAGAGAGTTGGACACAATATGGGTTTGTGGTTTCTAAACTTTTTTTAACCCTCACCTGCACTTTGGATGTTTCTAACCCCATTAGTCAAACATTTGAGAAGCAACACTTATTTTTGTCATACTTCATCACACAAAATCTCATTTTTAAAATCCCTGCAGTTCATCAAAAAATAAGATGGGTTAGATAGATGGATATGTGATAAATCAGGCATAGTGAAAATAGAATCTCAGTGGTGGGTATTCAAATGTTAAATATAATTTATTTCAATTCATTGGGCAAAAAATTTCCAGAAGTTCTCTTCAGTCCTTAGAACCATCATTTAGGGAATATATAAATCTTATTCTCCATGCTTGATTATAAATGAACTCTTTGATCTTTTCATATATGCATAATCTCATTTTACAGCTGTATAACTGAGGTGCAAAGAGGTAATTCTTGCTCTAATGTCTTGTATTCTCTGGATGCAGAATACATTTTCCCCCTGAATGAATAGTTCAGTAATCCTAAAAGAATGAGATTGTAGGAATGACTTAAAAAGTTTATAGTGTGGCTCTTAATATAGTGGATTTAAGACCAGCTGCAAATTTGCATATCTAAATTGTCTGTGGATATAATCAGTGTGTAAATTTCTCTCTCCTGGTTTTGGGTCAGTGACTTTTTTGTTGTTGGAATGATGAAGAACTTCCTGGATTGTAGCACAGAATTGACAAGTATTAATTAATAACTGATTGTGATTTCCCTTTTCAGAGGGAGTGTTCTACTATATCGAAGGTGGCAGTTTTTCACTTGGATGATCTGCATGCCTACCATTTCTTTTGACTGGATTAGCGCTTCAGAACAAAACCCACTACTGTATTTCTCCCCTTCTCAGTTTTGTTCTTCAGGTTAAACCTCAAGATAGGCCTTTATTCCCAATCTCATTTTCGTTTAAGAGTGAGAAAGTAAAATAAAGGTGAAAGGATTAAATAATAGGTAAGTTGTTGAGTTGTCTGTTTAGCTTTCAACAACTTACAGCTTCCCATGAAAAAATTCAGTGTATATTGTTGGAATGAATTTTATCGTTTGGTTGGTTTCATTTATATACTCTACCAACCATTGTATGATAATCTCCAGTAGCAGGAAAATTAAGCAAACTCACAAATAGCTTTCCTGATTTCTTCATAAGGGTGTCAGAAGTAGAGGCTCCTAAAGCATTTTTAGGTTTTGGGGGGGGGTTGTTTTTTGTTTTTTCATTTTTAGGTTTTGATTGAGAAGATAATGTAGGGTAATTAAGGGAAAAATGCTTTATTTTAATGGTTGATGTACTATATTAGAAAAAATGATAATCAGGACATCACACCCACCATTTCATAGCTATAATTTTTTTTAGAGTGGGGCCAATCAAAGAAAAATAAGTTGATTTAAAGAAAAATGTTAAGTTGGGCTACTTGGATATGGCAGAAATCATGGTGGTGGTACATAAATCACCAGACTTTGAGAAGTCTCATCAAAAGCTGATGTCATTTTGTTCTCTGGAATACAATAAAACTATGCCTAGTAATGCCTCCTGATTGTTTACTTGTCCTCGGTCATTGATATCTTGAAAAGTCAATAGCTCTTCTAGGTGTTCTGGTGTTGGGAAAAATAATCATAATAGTACTTACTACTACTTCTTGAGCAACAAGTTGTATATAAAGTGCTTTTCAAATATCTTGTTAAGTTCTCACAAGCTTTACAGATGCATAGTATTCTTCCCATTTTACAGCTGTATAACTGAGGCACAAAAAAATAAAGGGATTTTTTTTTGGACACTAGTAAGTGGTGGATAAAAATTCTTGCTCTAGCTCTCTTTTCACAGTCTACTATTCTGTTTGTTTTTGTGCATTATTGTGTAAGATTATAGACTTTAACTGGCTGGATAATATGCATGGATACATGATGAAAAATGCTGAGTAGATTTCTTGAGATTTAGTTTGTGCCATCTGCCAATACAAGGCAAATATGTAAGCTAAGTGCCAAGTGAGTGATTCATCCAGTGATAACTGTAGGAATTCAAAAGTAGCATCTGCGTTTTCAGTCTTTCCCTCTCTGGTGTCTTTCACTTAACAGCACACACATATCTTTAAAAATAAAAAAACTTCCTCTTTATTTTCTAATTCCCTTGAGCCATCATCCTTATCGTATCCCCTTTCTTTACCATTACTCTTTTTTTTATTCTAATCCTTTCACCATTATTCTTCAAAAAGACAGCTATTAATTCTCATTTCCTAGTCTAATGCCAGTGTATATCTAATGTCACACATAAATCAAGCCATCTTATCCTTGAAATACCTTCATTGTATTTCATAATCATATTCACTTCATATTCTCCTTA